CTCAGCACGGCAGCCATGTAAATTTAAATGAAGCCGCGATCATTTAAATCGCAGCTTCATTTGCCTTTGCGAAAACAACAAATCTACATGGCTCAGTCGACAGAGCCATGTAGTTTAGACGTACCCTAAGAGTGTAAAGTTTCACAATCCCATACAGAGAACTTGTTCATTCCCATTGTAAATGGCATCTGGATAGCAATAAAAATAGTTAGGATGAACAAATTGATTCCCAGTCATGCAATGTGCAGATCTCTGCACCAGCATGGAGTACCAGGGACACCGGAGGTAATCCATGTAGAGCTCATTGTAGGGTTCTAGCCAAAGTTTCCTGCTATCTTTAAATTCACAGGGCCAAATTGAACTGTGGTATAAATGGGTGCAGTGCCATTTATTTTAGTGGCATTCTGCCCATTCATACCAATGCTGAATTTATTTTGTTGTATACTTCTTGGCAAATATAAGGAAAAAACAAAACAACAACAATAAAAACAAAACAGGCCTGTCATGCTTAGTTGAAAAGCTGCCATCGCTTCTTGTTAAAATACCTTTTGTGACGTAGTGGGGGGTAACCTACTAACTCTCTGACTGCTGCCTGTAGTTCCACCGAGCAGACAAGTGATGAGTCACTATGCAAAGAGGGTATCTCAACTGGTTTGGCCAGCTGACCCCATGGAGAGGAACAAAGGAAGGTGGAACGCTGCCCTGGCTGGGGGGCAGGGCTGGAGGAGAGTGAGTTAGTTCCTGGCTGGAAAGCAGGGAAGAAGGAACTGGGGAGGGGGCTGGGATCCCACCATCTCAAAGGGGGCACTGAGGCCTCTTAGCCCCAGTTCCTGTAACCAGATTACATCTGTGCTATGCTGTATCCTGGAGGAGCAATAAACCACCCTCAATTCTACTGGCTGGTGTAGTCTGTTTGTGCCATTTCGGGGTGCAGGAGATGGGGGACCCCCGACGCGCCGTCACACCTTTCACTGGAAGAAAGTCCATGGAGACTTAAGCTCAGCTATAAATTCACCTGCCTGATCATTTCAAATGACAACCAAACATGAGAAAAACACAGTAGGGAAGCTAATATCTCTTACTGGAGCAACTTCTAGTGGTGTAAGGGGCAAGCTTATGAGTTGTCCCCTCCCCCAAGTTCATTATGTCAATTTTATGGTCATAAAAATTTTAAATCTATTTAAATCTGAAATGTCATGGTTTTGTAATTGGAGAGGTCCTGACCCAAAAAGGAGTTATGGTGGGGGGATCACAAGGTTATTGTAGGGGTAGCAGGACTGTTAGAGAGCAGCAGCTGCTGGCTAGGAGCCCAGTCTGAAGGCAGAGCTGCTGCCAGGAGCGCCACATAAGTAAGGATGGCATGGGGATGGTACTGCCACTCAGCTCTGAAGGCAGCAATGCAGAAGTAAGGGTGGCATAGTTCGGTATTATCACCCTCACTTCTGCACTGCGGGTGGTGGCATGCTGCCTTCAGAGCTGAGTGCCAACAGCCACTGCTCATAGAATCATAGAATAAGAGGACTGTTTCATAGAATCATAGAATAATAGGACTGGAAGGGACCTCAAGAGGTCATCGAGTCCAGCCCCCCGCCCTCAAGGCAGGATCAAGCTCTGTCTACACCATCCCTGACAGATGTCTATCTAACCTGTTCTTAAATATCTCCAGAGAGGGAGATTCCACCACCTCCCTTGGCAATTTATTCCAATATTTGACCACCCTGACAGTTAGGAATTTTTTCCTAATGTCCAATCTAAACCTCCCCTGCTGCACTTTAAGCCCATTACTCCTTGTCCTGTCCTCAGAAACCAAGAGGAACAAATTTTCTCCTTCCTCCTTGTGACACCCTTTTAGATATTTGAAAACCGCTATCATGTCCCCCCTTAATCTTCTTTTTTCCAAACTAAACAAGCCCAGTTCATGAAGCCTGGCTTCATAGGTCATGTTCTCTAAACCTTTAATCATTCTTGTTGCTCTTCTCTGTACCCTTTCCAATTTCTCCACATCTTTCTTGAAATGTGGCGCCCAGAACTGGACACAGTACTCCAGCTGAGGCCTAACTAGTGCAGAGTAGAGCGGCAGAATGACTTCACGAGTTTTGCTTACAACACACCTGTTGATACAACCTAGAATCATATTTGCTTTTTTTGCAACAGCATCACACTGTTGACTCATATTCAACTTGTGGTCCACTATGACCCCTAGATCCCTTTCCGCCATGCTCCTTCCTAGACAGTCGCTTCCCATCTTGTATGTATGGAACTGATTGTTCCTTCCTAAGTGGAGCACTTTGCATTTCTCTTTATTAAACCTCATCCTGTTTACCTCTGACCATTTCTCTAACTTGCTAAGGTCATTTTGAATTATGTCCCTATCCTCCAAAGAAGTTGCAACCCCACCCAGTTTGGTATCATCTGCAAACTTAATAAGCGTACTCTCTATCCCAATATCTACATCATTGATGAAGATGTTGAACAGTATGGGTCCCAAAACAGACCCTTGAGGAACTCCACTTGTTATCCCTTTCCAGCAGGATTTAGAACCGTTAACAACAACTCTCTGACTACGGTTATCCAGCCAATTATGCACCCACCTTATCGTGGCCCTATCTAAGTTATATTTGCCTAGTTTATCAATAAGAATATCATGCGAGACCGTATCAAATGCCTTACTAAAGTCTAGGTATATGACATCCACCGCTTCTCCCTTATCCACAAGGCTCGTTATCTTATCAAAGAAAGCTATCAGATTAGTTTGGCATGACTTGTTCTTCACAAACCCATGCTGGCTATTCCCTATCACTTTATTACCTTCCAAGTGTTTGCATATGATTTCCTTAATTACCTGCTCCATTATCTTCCCTGGGACAGACGTTAAACTGACCGGTCTGTAGTTTCCTGGGTTGTTCTTATTCCCCTTTTTATAGATGGGCACAATATTTGCCCTTTTCCAGTCTTCTGGAATCTCCCCTGTCTGCCATGATTTTTCAAAAATCATAGCTAAAGGCTCAGATAGCTCCTCTATCAGCTCCTTGAGTATCCTGGGATGCATTTCATCAGGACCTGGTGACTTGCTGACATCTAACTTTCCTAAGTGATTTTTAACTTGTTCTTTGTGTATCCTATCTTCTAAACTTACCCTCTCTCTGCTTGTATTCACTACGTTAGGCACACCTCCAGACTTCTCGGTGAAGACCGAAACAAAGAAGTCATTGAGCATCTCCGCCATTTCCAAGTTCCCTGTTACTGCTTCTCCCTCCTCGCTAAGCAGTGGGCCTACCCTGTCCTTGGTCTTCCTCTTGCTTTTAATGTATTTATAAAAGGTCTTCTTGTTTCCCTTTATGCCTGTAGCTAGTTTGATCTCATTTTGTGCCTTTGCCTTTCTAATCTTGCCCCTGCATTCCCGTGTTGCTTGCCTATATTCATCCTTTGTTAGTTGTCCTAGTTTCCATTTTTTATATGACTCCTTTTTTATTTTGAGATTGTGCAAGATCTCCTTGTTAAGCCAAGCTGGTCTTTTGCCATATTTTCTATCTTTCCTACACAGCGGAATTGTTTGCTTTTGGGCCCTTAACAACGTCCCTTTGAAATACTTCCAACTCTCCTCAGTTGTTTTTCCCTTCAGTCTTGCTTCCCATGGGACCTTACCTACAAGTTCTCTGAGCTTATCAAAATCTGCCTTCCTGAAATCCATTACCTCAATTGTGCTGGTCTCCCTTCTACCTTTCCTTAAGATCATGAACTCTATTATTTCGTGGTCACTGTCCCCTATACTGTCTTCCACTTTCAAGTTCTCAACTAGTTCCTCCCTATTTGTTAAAACCAAATCCAGAACAGCTTCTCCTCTGGTAGCTTTTTCAACCTTCTGAAACAGAAAGTTGTCTCCAATGCAGTCCAGAAACTTATTGGATAGCCTGTGCCTCGCTGTGTTAGTTTCCCAACGTATGTCTGGATAGTTGAAGTCCCCCATCACCACCAAATCTTGGGCTTTGGATAGTTTTGTTAATTGTTTAAAAAAGGCCTCATCCACCTCTTCCACCTGGCTAGGTGGCCTGTAGTAGACTCCTAGCATGATATCACCCTAGTTTTTTACCCCTTTTAGCTTAACCCAGAGACTCTCTACACAGCTATCTCCTACGTTCATCTCCTACGTTCACGCTCTGTGGCTTCCCAGCTCTGACACAGACATAGAGGCGGCAATATCGTGACTCCTCCCCTCCCCCCATAACTTTGTGAACTCCCTTTTGGGTCAGGGTACTCAATGTGAGAAATGCTTGATCTCCCACATGTAACTGGTAGAACATAAGGTAAAGCACACAAAAGACTAGCTTTCATGGTCTGTGATGCATTTTTCATGACCATGAATTTGCTAGGACCCTCCTTATAAGTTTTACAGAGCTTTTCTTCAGGACTGGGGACTGATAAGCGTGTCCCTTTTACCAACAGAAGTTGTTCCAATAAAAGACAGTAACTCACCTACCTTGTTTCTTTAGTATCCTGAGACCAACATGGCTGCAACAACACTGGAAATCCACACATCAGACTAATGGAGCTTCTGGTTTGTTTGTGGATTTTTCCTACTTGTTTCCTCTTAACATTTAGCAAAGTATAGCACATCTATATTACTGTACAAGTCTGGGATGTCCAGCAACAGAGCTGAATGACATACTCATAAATTACACATTTGTAATAAACAGTGATCAGGTCAACATTTTGGACTTAACAGATATCAGTATTTTATTCTAACACCGTTAAAATATGTCTAACTTTTATTAGTATGCATTTAGAGCAGTAGAGAATATTGGATTTGTAATTTGCTATGGTTCTTAGGGGACTTGAGCCAGAACTCTGTTTCTGGATTCTCCCTGTTCGTTGATTTCTAGGATAATTATATGTATTTATACATTTTCTTTAAAAAAAAAATGATTTGCTCATTATAAAGCCTTTCCGTCTTCACATTTTCTTTTTCTTTCTTTTTTGCTTTCATCTGGCTTTTGGTCTAGTACACGGTGTGGACTGCCCTCTGGGTCACCTGGAATGTTTTCATTATCTGCTTCTATTTGGAAGTAGGCGGGCTTTCTAAGGTAGGTCCCTTATAATTCTTGAGGGTTGTGGGGGGGCAAATGATTGTACTTTGATAGCAGCAATGCTAGGGTGTTTTAAATTACTAGATCCAGAAGAAAAACTAGTGTGCTCTTTTAACAGGTAATCAGAGCTCCAAAGGTTGTTGTTTTTCTCTAGCTAGAACTTCAGTATGGCAACTTATCTGTTGTAGTAAATATTCATAGAGGGGAAAAAAGTAAACATAATTAAACTGAACATCTGTGTCTCTCTGAAATAGAGCTTGCTGCTGAATCCATTTGATCAGGTTGAAGATTATTTTGATTGTTAAAAACATACAATATCTTTTTAGCAGATTCTTTGAGTAAATGAAACATCGATATAAATGTTCTGGGTCTGGTTTGAAAGCAGCTGAAGCAATTGATTGAGAAGGCTAATGTGACAACTTGTTGAGCAAATTGATCTCAGGGTAAAAACACTAATAAAGTTAAACAATTGCACAAGAAAAGATCATATTTTTGTTGAATCCAGTTTTCCTTTACTTAGTACTCAATACTTGAGTTTGCTGGTTCCTTTTTCAAAGTCCTGGTTAGAGCAGAAGTCTTTGCTGGAAGCATCAATGTACATATTAGATTAATAATATGTAGCACTTACGTTAATATCGCTTATTGTTAACCATGTTGTGTTCATAGTGGCTTCTCTACAACATTCATTGAATTTCATACTAGTACAACAAACTCAACCAAATTAAAGTATTTGCATATCGATATCAATATAGAACATTTTTTCATGCTGCAGCCTATTAACACAAAGTTAGAATTAGTGTGGCTATTAACATTCTCAAACTTTGCAATATTAAGTACATTGCTGTGAATTCTTACTTTTTTTTTAAGCTAAGTACAAACTTCAACTGGCTAATAGGAGATCATTTATGATTTAGACCCTTTATTATTAATCAGGAAAAGTCATCATAGTATTTATCAATCTAAAGTTCTGGAGAAGTCCATTTTATAACAAAGAAAACTAATTTAGTCATTCAATAAGAAATCAATTGAAAAGTTGCTTTAGTACAGGGGTCGGCAGCCTGTCAGAAGTGGTGTGTCAAGATCTAACTTACTCACTTACATTTATGGACCTGCGTGCCAGGAGGAGAGAAGGGGCCGTCTGGGTATGGTGACCATATTTTCTAAAATTGGTTGAAGCTAGGGAGAATGGTTTAATTTAAATTATTAAACAAAGTGTTTTATGTTTCTTATATTAGTTTATCAAACTTCATTTTAAATGAAGTAAAATATTAATTTATGTTCAACACAAAAGGCTTCAATATTTTCTTTATTTATGGCAGGGGGCGGGAACCTTTTTTTGGGTCAGGGGCCACTGACTCACAGAAAAATCAGTTGGGGACTACACAGATGAGAAGCAAAAAAAAACCCCAAAAAAACCACTCCTCCAAAAATCCCTAACCCTCAACAATGTGGCCCCCAACTGAGATACCTCACTCCTCTGATGCTCCAGCCTCACGGGGTGAGGAGAAAGGACAGGGAGGACTGAGGTTCAGAATTTCCCATCATCCAGATTTCTAAAATAGACACTGCTGTTCAACCAGGAGTTGTGAAATTGATGCAGGAATTAGCTGATGCTATACAAAAAGTGACTACATGGTGACACTGTTCCTTTAAAATCCATGAATCTATGAGATGAATATAGACCTCACACATAGTATCCCACAAGAATAACACACTGGTAATAAATCACCAATATAATCTTTCTTTACTACTTATCCTTTAGCACGTGGGTCTCAAACTCCCACCCTGCAGGCAATCCTTGGCCAAAACGACTGTGCAGTCTGGTCCATGACTCCAGGCAGGCTGAAGGAGGCCTGTCCATTACTGGCCTCCAAACTCTGCCTCTTCTCACCATTGTCTCTCCCAACATGGCACCTGTCCCTGAGGATGCAGCTTTGGGAATCATTGAGGGAAGGGCTTGGTGCCGTGGTGGCAGGAGCTGTGGAGGAAACAACATGCACAGTGCTTTATGAAGCTTGTCCCCATCTCCTCCTGCTGCTCTTATACAATAAAGTGAATTGTATGTACTGTAGTATTTTTCCCTAATGTTCTGTTGAAACCCCAACCTTTTGAATTTTTAATTACTTTGGCAGTAAACCTAGAATCTAATTTACTGCTAAATTATGTTAGGAACGTCATGCAGAAACATTTCAGAGTTTCAAAATAATGACTCCGGCCTTGGGTGGTAGTAGGGACTGTTAATCAGAAGTGCTGTGCAGTGATAGTATGCCCTTCAATGACAGTTAAACGGTAGTTTCTAATGTTCAGCTAATGTCATCAGAACATACCTCAGCAAAAACCTCATGCATTGCTTTGATTACAATACAAGAACTTACTGCAAAATTTAGACTTATGTTCGAGAAGGATCATGGGTTTGCAATTGTGTAGCTGTGTAAAAAATACAGTGTTTAATATATTGTTTACATCATTCAACACAAACAAGAGAAGACATTCAATTAATGCTTCTAACTTTATAATTCACTGAAATCACTGATACCTGTACAGCATGTTGGCAGGAAATGCTTAACTCGTGGTCTGTTAAAAATAGCAAGTAAGAACATAAGACCATAAGAATAGCCATACTGGAGACCAACAGAGGGTCCAAAGGTCCATCAAGCCCAGAATCCTGTCTTCCAGCAGTGGCCAATGCCAGGTGCCCCAGAGAGAGTGAATAGAACAAGTGATCATCAAGTGATCCCTCTCCTGTCATCCATTTCCAGCCTCTGACAAACAGAGCTAGGGACACCATTCCTACCCATTCCTATCTCTGGCTAATAAGTATTGATGAATCTAACTTCCATGAATTTATCTAGTTCTTCTTTGAATCCTGTTAAAGTCCCGGTCTTCACAACATCCCCTGGCAAGGCGTTCTATAGGTTGACTGCTCACTGCATGAAGAAAAACTTCCTTTTGTTTGTTTTAAACCTGCTACCTCTTAATTTTTATTTGGTGACCCCTAGTTCTTAGGTTATGGGAACAAGTAAGTAATTTTTTCTTATTCATTTTCTCCACACCAGTCATGATTTTATAGACCTCTATCATATTTCCCATTAGTCTCTTATTTTCCAAGCTGAAAAGTCCCAGTCTTTTTAATCTCTCTTCATATGGGACCTGTTCCAAATCCCTAATCATTTTTGTTGCCCTTTTCTGAACCTTTTCCAATGCCTATATATCTTTTTTGACATGAGACAACCACATGTGTACACAGTATTCAAGGTGTGGGTGTACCATGGAATTATATAGAGGCAATAAAACAGAAAATGTCTTAGGGTACGTCTAGACTACATGCCTCTGTTGCCACTTCATTTAAATTTACATGGCTGCCGCGCTGAGCCAACAAACAGCTATTCAGCTGTTTGTCGGCTCAGCGCGAT